AAAATTCAGGCATTTAGGTGTCGCTTTTATCCGCAGCGCCTCATAATGGGTGAGCAGTGTCTGCCCGGCTGTGTGGATCTGACCTGCCACTTTTTTTTTTTTGTTGTTTTTTTTTTTTTTTTTTGGACGGGCCTCCATCCCGCTCCATTCTTCACTCGTTTATTGTAAACTGCGGGGAGGTTCACTGGCACGGCACTAAAGCAGAGTGAAACGAGGTGAGGAAAAGTTCTGGTGACGCATCTCCAGCGCGGCAGTAAAATACTCTAACGGTCACATGCGCGGCCAACTGCAGGCGCTGAGCTGTAAAGAAACATATTCTCCTCAGCAGAAGGCAAGCAGCTCATTCCCAGCGACACGTTAGCGGACATGAGCGCAGCGTGCCCCACATATTGACGCCCCAATCACATCCTTTAAATGTCATACGTCCAGCGATGGCCCGCGAGGTTGCAGAACTGGTTTAGGAGGTTTTGAAGATGCCATGCACAAGCTGTCAGACCTCAGCAGCATCTGCTGGGTCTGATGGCGGAGCTGAATTTGTCCTTATTTCCAACCAGGACAGCTGATTGTACTTGACATTGTCACAAGCGGGTCTTCCCCCTGTCTGTCTTCATGTGGAAAAAGTCCCATCTTTTCCAACCTAATGCTGCTTTTATCCCGCGGTGATTGTGATTATGTGCTGTGCTTGTGCCGCCATAGTGGGGCGTAGTGTGACGTTGACTTTAATAATTAACTCCGCCGGTTTTCAAGCCCGTGAGTTGGTTTGCCTTTTGTCTGTTAATTAGAAGGCATCTCAAAAAATACTTAACAGATTTGGGTAAAATTTGGCAGAAATCTTGGCCTTGGGCAAAGAAGAAACTCATTAGATTTTAGTGGAGACAGCTCGAAAATGTGATCTGTGTTCTTTCTGTTTGGAAAAAAAGTTTGGTTTCGAGGCATTTTACGCCTGTAGAAGCTAATTCTCTTTCTTGTGAATCGCCTCTTCAAAGCCATCAGCATAAGTTTGCATTTTTTGTTCTTTGCAACAAAGATTTTTTCGACAACAAATTTCATTCAGTCATTACCAAGTTTGGATAACCTAAAACCTGAGCTGACGTTTCATTTGCTCCTCCGGCTCACCTCGCCCTGCATGCACTGGGCCAATCACAACTTATCCAGTGTGGGTTGGCTGGGTTGGATGTGACAATGCTGAGGAGCGCATGTTTTTGGTTGTAAGTCGATCCAGTTACCTTCAGAGGTAATTTGATGTGCTGCTGATAAAACTCCTTGGAAACGGAAAATAAACCAAGAGGGTCAACGATAATTCACATTGTTCTGGCAAAGGCCTGTCTGCAAATTTGGCACATTTTGGATGAGCCCCAGACTTTGACACACCACGCTATTTTTCCAGTAATCATTTGCCAGATTTTTTTCGATTAAGTTTGTTTTAAAACGGTTAAGACCCCAGCAAAGTTGTAGCATTAATCCCGTAACACGAACACAGCCCCGATGTGAGAAATCTGCCTCTGTGTTTTGAATGGCTCTGGTCCTAATCACTGCCAACAAACTATACATAGTTTGAAAGCACAAATACTCATGACTCAAATGATGCAAACCATTTAATGTGCCAAGGCCAAATCAGCCGTAGTTTCTTATTCTGTAAAAATAATGCAGAACTCACTTTGCTCGTCATCTATAAGAGCACATACTTGTTGAATCGCTGCACTACCGAGTTAAAATAAGAGGCTAATGGCTAACCCTGACTTGTCAGCAGTGCCCCAAATCAGCACATCGTTTATAGTGATAAAGGTCTCAGCAAAGGAGGACATTGAGAGCGACTTGGAGAGCAGGTGGAGGTGGATGGACGGGTTAACAGAGCATCAAACTTTAAATTTTTAACTTACAGTCGACTATGCTTGTTTCTAATCATCAGGATTGTTCTCTAACAGAGGTTAGAGGTCATTTTAACGCAAAGCACAGCGTCAGTAAACACATCTGTGAGTTATTCTAAAGGGCAAACCGTCTGTTGACTTACTGACGAACAGGCATGTATTTAAAGTGAAACCAGTCTTATGCATCGAAATCAACCTCCAGGTGTTTATCAGCACGGCTACATGTGTGAAAAAATCACAGTGAAGGTGGTGCTGCTGACGCTCAGAACATCTGATGTGGAAAACACATTAAAACACAGGATCCAGACAAGTGTTCCAGCTATTTGTTCGTCACAGTTGATGAACGTTAGTCGGACTGAAAGATATGAAAATACATAAAGACAAAAATAAATACAATTATTAATCAAATTGTTGCAATTAAATTGTTGAATGGATAAAATAAATTGGGCCGACATCACTTCAGCTTATCTCGTTATTACTTCCACTATCTTGGCAGAAGCTATATTCTATTGGCTGTAACGATTCCAAGGCGGCGTCAATCACTGAAATCAACCAATCGTTACGGCGGTAGAGCCTTGCGTCACCACAGGAGCGTCACAGCAGTCTGATCAGCATTACGGCAGGACGCGTAACACAGACAGCGGTCTGGTTGGATTTTTAAGAAATGGGATATATTGAACATCATCAGTGATATACAAGTGAAATATATAGTTTGTACATAAGATCATTCAGATGGTCACACGTGTGCCAGAATGTGAACTCGCCTGAACTGTCTGGACTAAAAACTCTCTAATGTTGTTCTGCTTCACTTTATCAGAGTCAACCTTTGCAGAGAGAATGTTCACATATTGTGCTCTGATCTGGGAGAGGTTTAGAGCTGCAGCTGGATCGTTCCAAAGAGATCATTATCCTGAAAATGCTTCTTTTATTTAGGCGAACCTGCAAAACGTTTCATTTGTGCTGTGTGCCATCCTCGTTTACTCTTAACCAGTAACATATATACTGATATTTACACATCTGAACAAATCTTACAAGTGCTCCTTTTGTTATGACACAAGAACTATTCAAATAGACCTTGTGGTTGCAGAGATAAACTGTTGTTATTATGGGTATGTCATTTTCGAGCAGAGGCCTGAAAAGTAGCTCAGGGCTGAACAGGAGGCTAAAGGTGAGGTTCTATAACTTCCTGGGTGTGTCCAACATGATGACAGGATATGCAGCGCAGTGGTAGAGCAGCTTCACACTTTTCCACGTCCATCAATACGTGACACTCTGTGATGTAAATTTAGTCATCTGCCCAAATCCACGAACGTCTGCAAGGATCCCTCTGCAGCGGGGCCCAAAGTTGGCATCCACTCGGACGGGTGATTACAGTACAAGGGCAATAGCGTGCAGAACATGTAGCTACAACCTACTGCCCATGAATGGGTCGGAGTCCTCCAAGCGGACTCCAGCAGATTAGGAAAGTAGTACAATAGAGTGCATTCACACTGGAGTATAATCAATCCTGCAGTGTTATATTCTCCACGTCTGCCAGGACACGAGAGGGTCTGCAAGGGTCTGTGTGATGTTAATTTCATCATTCTCGCTAGTCAGCAAGAGTCCGTGCAGGCCGCAAATCTCCGCATGCACCCCAGAATTTCTGTGCAACTACAAGAGCAATGGTGCACATTCGTGGCTGTAGTGTGTGTGTGTGCAGAGTACAAAGATATACCCTACTGTATGGAAGGGAGTCTTCTGGCAGACTAGAGAAGTCGTATATGACCCTTGATTATACTTCTTTGTGCATGTGCACACGGACGTCAATCAATGCATAGTTGATGCTAATTTACTGCTTTTATAGTCAGTGGACTTTGTTCCATATGCACCTCTTCACACAAGTTGTAATTACATATTCCTGCACATATAGCATGCACACAATTGCCCTTGTAGTGTACTTACGTATTTTTAGCTGCACGTGGACTCTCATGGATTTGGGAAAGATGATGAGATTCACATCACGCAGATCCTGGTGCACCGACTTTATAGGTGTAACTCTTTGTATCTGTGTGCGTCTGTGAGGGAGTCTAGTCAAGGCTTTAGGTGTGATTAATGCAGGTGAGGTACAGTATTTAAACTTGTGATTTACCAATAAGTGAAAAAGTTGTACGCAGACTTCTGTATCCTAAAGGGACTCAAGCATTGTCACTTGCGCCAGATGGGCCCAAAGGGGAAAAGTCTGAAAAAAAATAAATAAAAACTAAATCTGTGGGTGTTGAGTCGGACAGAGGTGAGATTAGCAGACCTTTGTGGCCTGCTCTCATTTCTCCTGGAGGCGAGAAGCTCAAGGCTGCATTAGCCATTAGTAGCATAACACGCTGCATCTCTGAACTGAACTGTTGAAGGTCAAGCTGCACCGTGGATAATAATGTAGGAGTTAGGTTTTCACAAGATGGAATTACAGCAATGAAAAAAAAACAATATTTCTGGCTCTGCTGCATGTATTTTAAAACCGCTATGAGTCCGGCGGTGTTAAAGTAAGCCAATGGAACACTGTTGGAATACTCTTCCACTATAATTCTTTAAAAAAAAAAAAGTGCAACTGCAACCAAATTTTCTAAAAATCTGAACGTCTTGCAAAATTAATCAATCAGAGCAGGTTTCGTCTTTCAGCAGCTGCACAGAAGAAAATCCAACAACTCATTACCAGTGACTACGCTGCACTGTTTTAGTGGGGCCTGCACCGTATCCCCAATCTGTGTGTGTGTGTGTAGGTTTGTGTGTCCTGTATCCACCGTCTGTATAGCAGAGTGACCTTGATGTCTGCACTCAGCAGGAAGTCACTAGAGAGGAGTGATTAACAGGAGAGAGACAAAAAGAAGACAGCGAGAAGTGCAAAGAAGGATGGAAATTTGAAAGGGAAAAAAAAGAAAAGAAGGGAGAGTGAGGGAGCGGGCTGAGTGTGAAAGTTAAACATGCAAATAAAAAATAAAAAAAGAGAGAAAAGAGATTTAGAAAAAGAAAAAGTGGCGGAGAGAGTGAAGGAAATGTGTCGGAAAAGAAGCCGAACGAACGGTGGCGAAAACAGGGTGGGGTGGAGGAGTGACTCACCACACATCTATTGGTTTTTTCTTCTTCTTCTTCTCCCTACAGGCAATCTGGAGGTGCAGTCATCAAGAACAGGTAAGGGGGGGATGAGCGATGGGAGGGAGGGAGGAGCGGGTGAGGGAAGGGAGGGACAAAGAGAAGAATATTACACTGAATGTTAATCAAACTCACACTTGTAGAGGTGAGAAAATACAGTGCATACATTGTTCTCGCTGGGAAAAAACGTGTTAGAGGCTCTTTTACTGTACAGCATGTGCATGTGTGTGTGTGTGTGTGTGTGTGGTTTTAGTAGTGTGTAGTTGTCGACTCTTCTGCTGTGACCCAGGTTAATAGGACTGTGCATCTCCACCGCTCACCTGCAACACACACACACACTGTAGCAGCCAATGACTGCACCCGCTGCCCCCTTTGACTTACACACATGCACTCGTGCTTCACACACACACACACACACACACACACACACACACGCAGCACAACTTGCCCTACACCTGTCCGTGAACGTCCACTTAATAAAGGCCTTCCTCGTTCTCACTCACATCGTCTTTTGGTTTCCCCGCTGATGCCGGGCTGTGCTGCCTCCTTGTCCTTCACCTCTGACCCTCCTCCCTCCCTGTTCTTCTCCCCTCATTGTTCCGCCTCAGTCTTGGTGAGGAGTTTTATAAGGAGGCCATCGAACACTGTCGCAGCTACAATGCCCGTCTGTGTGCAGAGCGCTCCATGCGTCTCCCCTTCCTGGACTCCCAGACCGGCGTGGCCCAGAGCAACTGCTACATCTGGATGGAGAAGAACCACCGCGGCCCAGGTGTGTGTCTGTGGTAACCTGTGCACACTGAAGTGGTCGGTTGTATCTCTGAGAAGCACTCTGGAGTGTTGTTTTTTTTTCCGTTGGTGTGTGTGTGTGTTTGCCAGCTGTTGTGCTACACAAATTTTTCTCTCCAGTCATTTGTCTCACGGCTTCCTTCCATCCTCTGCTCTGCTTGTTTCTGTCTCTCGTTGCTTCCTCCCTCATTTCCGCCTCCTCCTTTCCAGCCCTCCTACCTTTCACACCTCAACTTTTTTTTTTTTTTTCTTTCCCCAAAGGGTGTTTCCTCATTGCTTTTTCTTTCCCTGTAACATCAGTGTATTTTGGCAGTGAATCAGACACCCCTGTAGGCAATGATACGCCGCTGGCACCAGCTATTCCAGGGAGAATGTGCCTGTGTGTGTGTGTGTGGACTTGTTTGGTGTATTAGCGATTTTAGTTTGTGGGCTGAGCCTGGTGTCTGCCACTAGATCGTTTTTGGTTTTGTTTGTTAGTCACTTTTAGTTGAAACTTGGTTTACAAAGACCTTGGTTGAATTTAATTATTGATTATATATTTTTTTAATTTTATTTTTATTAGTTAAAAAAAAATAATTTAAAGCCTGAACAAAATCACCAAATTTTCCAAAACCAACAAATTAAACCAGATTAATTATTATATTTTTGGTCTGGAAGCATGTACAGTACCTCAATACACAATCTTCAACACCACATCCATCTATTACTAGCTGAACCAGAGACAAAATTAAACTTTGTCTAGATGTTCATGGTCCTCAGAGGATGAACTGGAGCTTTTCTTCCACCTGTGCATTGACTTGTGTTTACAGCAGAACGAAAAACTAAAAATGAAATGTGTTTAGTCCATACATGACCCACCTCAGGATGAAATGAAATAAATAACTACCTGAAAAACTAACTGGGCAAATGTTACACAGTCAACAAAGACGTAGTATTTATGATATTTGTCGTAGAGCATCAGAGTGTGACGTGCTGTATCATGATTACCTGCTAATTGCTGCACCGGTCATGGTATTGTGTCCTACATCCATGCTGTGTGTGTTCCTCTGTGTTCCAGGTCACGCTCCAGGTCAGTTGTACACATATCCCGCTCGCTGCTGGCGCAAGAAGAGACGGCTAAACATCTTGGAGGACCCACGGCTCGTACCAATCGAGTTCAAAATCGGTAGGGAGCAGGCTGGAATGTTTTAGGAAGCTTTACCACAGACAGAGCTGGACAGTCTGTTTATCTATAAGAGACGTACTGAAAGTTGTTATTGTGAATCCCGTAACTGGCTGATTTGACTTTTATTCCCCTTTTAGTAGCTTTAAGGCTGACAAGAACACATGAAGAGTTCATTTGCAAAAACTGAGAAGTCCATTTTCGTAGATTTTCAGACAACTCATTGTTTTGTTGTTTGCTTGAGATAATATCAATCAAACTGAAGATGAGTGGATTTGACTCAGAAATGTAGAAATGACAAAAATAAAGATAACTTAAGTTTGATTGATGCAGGTAGACGATGGAAAAGTGGGTTTTCTGAAGGTCTGTGAAGATGGAGGTATCTGTTTTTGCAAATGAACTCTTCACATGTGCTGTATATTCTCTGTAAGCTTATTTCTACTCATAACAAAATGTGTAACAGCTGTTGGTCCATGGTGCAAAAAGACGATGACATCGTTAGGGCCTATTCTAGTGACGGGACTCATAACTATAAACATTTCCTGAACATAACCAAGTAGTTTAGGTGTTTAAACTTAACCAAGTACAGGGAACACAAACATAAACGCAACATGTGGTATTTTATCTAATTCTATCCATTTGTTTCCATATAATAAGTATTGTTCCAACACCCGGCATCTTTACAACAGAACAGACAACCGAGTCATAGCATCACCTACCAGCGACTTTCTCTTCTCATCTGTGGCATTGTGTCATTTAAATAAAGCTGCATTTTAATGTGGCCACTATTTTAAGGAGCCACACCTGACTTGGGTGTGTGGTTGAGAAACTGTCACCAGGTGTCAAAACTTTTTTGTGCACATAAATTAAACCTTTTTGACAAGATCAATGATATTTCAGAAAAGTTAGAAACCATTTGCATGCAGCATTTAAATGTTTTAAAAATGTTTTGTTTTGTAGAATGAAGCAAACAAAAAAACACAATTATGTTAAGAAATAAAACAAAAACAACAGAATGATCCGACACAGAGCCCAAACCCGGATCTCCTGAGTGAATATTGTCTGACTAATGCCTCCATCGGCCCTCAGACCTCCTGATGTGAAATGCTGTTTTTTCGTACAACACAAAAGGAGCATGATGTGACCCGGACTCAGGCCAGTAGGACAGAGTAGGCCAAAAAACATCAGCATCTCACCATTTTCCAGCTGCTATCTGTACCAAAGGGAGCCCTTTGCACACCTATTCCATGAGGCAGGTGTGTTGGAAGCACAAAACAGGCTCCTGAACGCTGTCTAATTGCAACCAAAATGCTGCATTAATAAATGTATGATTGCAAGTTAGAGTGAGGGAGTCTGTTTTCGCAGCTTTTATTTTTTGGGGGTTTTTTTGTGGACCAACACAGCTATTACACATTTTGGTGTGAGAGTACCATGTCATTGACGCTTTGAAAGTTTTTAATAACAATAAACTCAACATTCAGCCAGAGAGCAGGTACCTTCACTCACTTTTTGGGTCTCTATATGATATTATAAAGATCCAGAACAATCCCAAATAATCACTGACATTGTGCTTATGTCATAATTAGATGAAAGATTGCTAGTTTGCTCATTTACTGACTTTCTACAGTAAATGCTTCACGTAGAAATATTGCAAACTTCCAACAAAGAAAATGTTCAAACTTTGTCACAAGCGACACGCAGTCATGTGACGCTGTGATGGTTTCAGCCTCCGTACGGTGCAGGAGCTGAAGTCCTCGCGGCTTCACAAAACAGCCAAATTCAGTTTCCTCGGGGCACTGTCAGCTCAGCTGTGCATGTCAGCATGAATGTGAGCTCTCTGCTGTTTTCTGATTGTAATTGTCTCATCCTCCAGACTACGAGGCTTCTCTAAAGAAGGAGGGGGGCATCCCAGACGGCCCTGTGCTGGAGTCGCTGCTCGCCGGGGAAACCCTGGACAAGAAGGTAGAAACCAAGGAAGAAGAGCCAATGAGCGAATGTCAGGTGAGACTCGGGTTCCTCTTTCTTGCCTTCCAGTTTTTTTTATCTCTCCTTCTCTTTGTTGTTCCTTGTGTCTTGTTGTTTTCTTCTTATGTCAGGCTGTCTATCTCTTTTTATCTGTCTGTATTACCCTCTGTGTTTGTGTTTCTTTGTCTGTCTCTGCCTTTGTCTCTCTCCGAGTGTGTGTGTTTTGGCGGTGACACAGGCTCCCGCGGCTCTGACAGCTCCCTCCTGGCACCCAGTGTGTGCATGTGCTTCCGATTGTGTGTGATTGCGCGGCAGCTTGCTGTTTTCCAGGGATTCCGCTCGTGTGTTTTACACCAATTACGAGAATGTTTTTTTTTTTTTTAGTTATTATTGTAATCTTTGTGTTTTTATTAAAGGGAAACGTAAGTTCTGTGCTGAAAACTTAATGCCCATCTGTCTGTGGAGTATTTCACCAGCTCCAGGCCGTTGCTCTTGAACTCAAATGGACAGCTAATCAATCAGCGGTTGAGTGAATGGTGCTCGCAGTGGCCCTCTGAGAGCTTGAGGAGTGTTTAGGGACTCTAATCTGAGGCTTCCCCTGACTCCAGCTCTCCTAGGCGGGCATTACACTGTGCCCTAGCATAACTCCACGTCCACACTTTTCTCTTCCCTTAGTCTTTTTTCATTTCTTAGAAGTTAGAGTCTCACACAACCGAGCCGCGATCACATGAATGTCTTTAACATAAAGATGATGTTTTCCTAAACTCCTCTAAGGAAAACAAAAGCCTTTAGTGTTAAAGGGCCTCTCTGATTTTACACATGAAGCTCAAGTTTACGTGAAAAGTTTATAATGGAAGACCTGCTGGATGTGAGAGGTTTGAAGGAAGTTTAGGATGCAGAGGATACGGTGCCTGTTAAAAGTTTTCAGTCCCCGTGGAGGTTTTCTCCTTTCATTGCTTTTAAACACTGGATCATGGCCATTTTATTTACAAGAATAAAAAAAATAAAACGATTCTTTTGTGTCAAGTGAAAACAGATTTCTACAAGGTAATGTCAATTTTGTCAAAATAAGCGACTGCTCAAGTATTCACCCCGCTCTGGTTAGTGATGAGCCGATGCACCTCTGGCTACAATCACAGCATTTAGCCTGTGCTGGTAGGTCTCAATCAGCCTTGTGCTTCTGAACACTGCAATTTTGCTCCATTCTTCTGAACAAAACTAGTCAAGCTCTGTCAGGTTGCACAGGGGACTGTGGGTGAACAAGCCTTTCAAGTCTCGCCACAAATTCTCAATCGAGTGATCTTGGCTTTGACGCCAGAACATTCACCTTGTTGTCTTTAAAGCATTTCTGTGGAGCTTCGACTGTTTGCTTCGGCTCATTGTCTTGATGGAAAACAAGTCTTCCCCAAGTCTCACTTCTCCTGCCGACTCCATCAGGTTGTCCTCCAGGATTTCTCCACACTTTGCTGCATTCATTTCACCCTCTACCTTTACAAGTCTTCCAGGCTGCTGCTGAGAAGCATCCCCATGTCATGATGCTGCCACCACCGTGCTTCACAGTGGCCACGGCATGTTGATAATGTGCAGTTTTTTTGTGTCTGCCAAACATAGCTGATGGTGCAAAAGACCAATTTTGGTCCCAAAGAAGCTTCTTCCAGTTGACTTTAGAGTCTTCCACATGCCTTCTGGTGAACAAGCTGCAGTTGTTGTGTTCACATCTCAGCTGCTGAAGGTTGTAGCTTCTCCAGAGTAGTCATGATTGTCTTGGTGGCCTCGCTCACTAGTCCACTTGGGGGTGAATACTTTATATAAGCACAGTAAAAGAGGCTATCAAGTTGAATATGGAACGTGTAAGCTCTGGTGTTTTGGACTCTGACCCTAAAAATCAGAACAGAACCGCTTCTGCGGCTTGGTTTTTGATCAGTCATTTTTATGTACCTCCTGTGAGTCCCCCAACTTGATAAAATTGCAGCACCAATTGCACGGTGCACCTGTTTAACTGAGGAAATGTTTGTCTTTATTGCAGCAAAATGGTGACACATTTCTCTGGTGGCTGGGGTTCAGCTCAGAAGGTTTCCGTGCTGTGATCACGCAAACAACCTCTAAACTAGTAGGAGGAGGTGCAGCAGCTTCATGACAGCCTATGGGCTTATGCAGAACAGGGTGAAAGAAAGTTAGACGGCTGAGGGAAATAAGAGGACAAGGAAGGGAAAAAAGTAAACTCACTAACCTGCCTGACAGTCCATCTGTCTCTCTCTATATCTCACCAATAGAAGCTGCTTGTCGGGGATTTCCCTCATGAGTTGGAGGTGGACGAGATGGAGGAAGACGTCCCGAAGCGCAAGAACCGCACCAAAGCACGGGTAAGACAACAAGTTCTCTTTTTCCCCTGGTCATCTGATACTTAATTAACAAGTCAAGAGAGAATTTGTTTGGCTGTCGATGAGCAAAGTCACAAATTACCTCCGAGTCAAACGCTGGTGGGCCCGGGCTTCAGCGCCCCGTCTGTCAGACACATGAAGACGTAAACTGTTCTAATAAGACAACACCTGAGAATAGGATGGTATTGACTGCCATATTTCACACAATATGAAATATGATAAGTCAGGAATAATTCTGTGCTCTCTCTGTATACCTCACTCTGTAATGAGATGTCATCTGACAAACCAACAGTTATTACAAACAAATGCAAACGGATCCAAAGATCTGAATCACGCTGCGATGACCTCTTTTTGTATGACTTTGATTAGATCAGACAGGTCTTTTTTCCCCACTGTTTTTGAGCATCCTATGGGAAGATAATCAAGTGTTAACTACGTATTCTGAAAATCATCACGCACACACACACACAGACTCACTCACACACATACACACACTTGCACACAGACACCAGGGTTGCTAATTGGAACTGTTGCTCCCCTGCTAGGTGTCATCAGCCCCCTCCTGCTGGAAGTGGAGCTTTACACTGAGAGCAGATGATTAGAATGCAAACGTGCATGCGTGTGTGTGTGTGTGTCGACACTCGAACAGCCGAGCGAGGGCTGCGCTGTTTTGCTCTTCATATTGTGTGTGTGTGTGCATACAAGACTTATGTTATGAGTGTGGAAGTTCAGACTTTTTGTGTGTTTACATGTGTACTTTTGCACGAGGCTGTCTGAGTGCTTACAAGTATGCATGCGTGTGTGTGTGTCTGTGTGTGTGTGTGTGTGTGTGTGTGTGTGTGTTCTCTGCAGGCCTATGGCGTCGGAGGCATGAGAAAGAGACAAGAGCTGCCTGCCATTGAAGACAGAGACAAGCCTTACGTCTGTGACAGTGAGCGCCACGTGTTTTTCTTTTCATTTCTAACTTACACACACGTGCGTTAAACTAACTCCATGCACTGTGTGTGTGTGTGTGTGTGTGTGTGTGTGTGTGTGTGTTCCAGTCTGCGGAAAGCGCTATAAGAACCGTCCAGGGCTGAGCTACCACTACACTCACACACACCTGGCAGATGAGGAGGGTGAAGAAGACTCAGAGCGACACACGCTACCCTTCCAGCGCAAGAACAACCACAAGCGTGAGTCTTTCTGACAATTGTCCATCATCATCATCGTCGTCGTCCATTTTTTGCTTCCTGTGGAGTGCTTTGCTCGGCTGGACAGACTGATTCAGGATCCTCAGTTACAGAATGAGTTGAGGGTCATTCCAAAAATCTGTCATAATCCGAATATTATTAAGGACTATTGATTGTTCTGGAGTTTGTCCTGCAGCATTATAGATAGATACCGTGCTGACTGGGCCAAATCCAGACTGTGCACCTGTGTGTACGACGGATAAGATTTCTTCCCAGTGGACTTCTGGGTTTTGCTGATTTCTTCAGCTCTCTTCTCTTTTCAGCCCCTTGTTTGACCTGAGATAAACAAGGGTTAGGTTGTTGGGTAATTATCAGGTAATGCCATTGTCTGTAATTCTGTTGTTGTTGATGTGAGCTCCTGCAGAGGCAACAACAACAACAACGAACACCCTCCAGAAACAGGGACAGAGCGGTGAAACTGTTACTCAGTAGAACCGCATTATAGGAGATACTGGTTTCACTCTGATGGATGATGTTTGTCGCACTTTTGCCTCTTGTTTCACATCAAGTCTAATGATGGAAGCACATGACAGCTCGATATTTGCATGGTCGCCCCGAGGCTGAGTTAGCCCAGGGCTATTTTTTGTCTTTTGTTTCACTGTAGTGTTTAACTTTTCACTGTCTGGGCTGCAGCAGCCTTGAGCTAATGTCACTGTCAGGCCTCATTCAAACTCCTTGTATCACTACTGTATTATTACTGCACAGAAACATGCCAGAAAAGTGTCAAAATAATCATTTAAACATGCATTGCACAATTACTATGCAATGTGTATTATAATGCTGTTTACTGGCCTTGCCTTGCTGAAAATGATAAAAGTTAATTTACTCAGAGTGAAAGGTGAACACCTTTCCATTTTTTTCCCCAGTCATCACCGATCTTTGCTAATGCAACACTTCAGACAGTTTTAACAAATGCTGCAAGGACACATCAGCTCAGCGAGAGAACTCTTCAGTCAACACTCATCCGCTGTAAAGAACCGCCAGTGAACAAACACCATTCAGGCAGTTAGGGAAATATCCACTCCGCGTTTATATTTCAGTTTCTACTCTATGTGTCTTTTAATTTAGAGCACACAGTATGGCTGCGGCTATCGAGTGCTTAATGAGTGTCCGTTAATGCACTGGACTGAGCGTCATGAGGTAGTAATGAAGATCCATGGCATTCCCTGCTGATACCTCCAACGCTTCTTGCCAAACAGTGTAGACATCCATGGGGATGCAGAAAGGCAGGGTTGTAAATGTTTTTTATCAAGTGGTGTGGTGTAGAATAATTCACTAAAACTACGTTTGGCCATGCTAGATGACTCATCAATGACAGTTCTAGTTTGTGGATGGGCCAGTTCGTGCTACCGTTTGGTCCACAGGGGAACATCTTTTTTATGTACCTTGATTGGATTGCTATAAAATTGTGTAGTTCCAAGAAGATGAATCCTGATGAATCCTTTGAATTTTCCTCTAGTGCCACCAAAAGTGGCTTCTGTGGTGTTGAGAGGCATGTGCCAATAAATACTGGATGACTCTTCCTCTAACACCATCAGCTCGTCAGGATTGCAGCTTGTGCAGTACTTTGGTTTTCATCTAGTCTGACTCACCAGGTGTAAGTCTGCCATTTCCCCTTCAGCTCTTTTGGTGTTATCGTTTCAGAATCCCTCTCACCAGGGAAACACAACGAGCAGCAACCTACACGCTGAAACTGGCAAGAGTTTGCCAAAGATTTGCATCGAGCAGTAAGGCAGGTCTGCTATAGGCTCTTTCAGTGAATTAGCCGCTTCAATGACAGCGCTGCACGTAAATGTTCCACCAAAACGATTCACCCCGTCAGTGCTTTTGCAGTGGCACCGTTGCTGCGTCCTGGGCTGCAGTCAGACCATTCTCCAGCTCTGACAGAGTGCTGTGGAGATAGATCTGACTACAGCTCTCACCAAACACCCAGTGACACTCCAATCAGCCTCAGCTGTACTTTGTGTTGAAGGCTAATTAGCTGATGTTAGCATAGAAACACTAAATCAAAGCTGTGAACATAACAAACATTACAGCTGCTCTGTCAGTGTGAGCAACTTAAAGCACAAAGTGTCACAGAGCTGCGAGCCCGGCTGTATCCTGCAATAGATCAATAGGAAAGAATATCGCTGATACTCAACAGTATTAGAGTACTACAGTATTAAAGTACTACAATCAGCCTCCAGAGCAGTAGCCTCAGAATGAGCTTCATATCGGACAATTTGAGGGGACTCGTGACATTACATCCAGGACAAATGTTCAGGTTCAGAAGTAGTCTGTCCTTTATGAAGCAAAGCAGAAAGTCACCCTGTTAAGGTTGGGCTGCAGCACTTTCTGTTTTCATGAGAGGAGACTGACCTGGAGTTTTATTTTTTTATGAACTTTACCCAGAATCCTTCAGTTCACTTTTACCATGGTGTATTTTTCAAAAGTACATTTTTTTCCCAGATTTTGCTGGTGCGTGTTTGCAGAGCAAGAATTTGAGAACATTTGCAAAGATAAGGGTTTATTGGACATAGTCTGGGCCGGCATGGGGCAACACAACCAGTTGTATACAAGTCTATGAGAAAATGATTCTACTTCTCACTTCATTTGTTACCCTAGTGAATATTTTCATAGCAAGTTTATGGTCTCAATCGCTATTTTCTGGTGTCCTTCTATATAGCACGATGTTCATTTAGTAAATCACGGTGCCATTTAGAGCAAAATAGATGATAAAGCCGGGGATGTTTTGTTGCAGGGCTACCTTGTGATTGTCGCTGCCGTACACCCGTGCTTACTGTCCCTGAGTCCTCGATGAGATCCACCTCTCACTTGTCATGTTTGGTTTCAAAAGAGCAGGATGGCTTGAGGCGCAGTCACTACATCCATCTTTTATGTACAGTCTATGGGTTTGAAGGCTGACAGGAACAGTGTCATCACCCGGTGATGGAAGAGTAGCCTTTAATCTGTAAAGTTCAGGCTTTTCTAATCGAAAACTTTTTGGCTTGTGTCAGGAGCAACGCAGGTGTAACCGACAGTAATAACGTCTCTGTTTTTTGTTTTTTTTGGTGTTCCAGTAGCGAGCACAAAGCAGGGCCCTGTTTCCCAAAAGCATTTTAACGCCAAGATCATTTTAGTCCCATTGTAAGTCTACTAAAGATAATCTTAGCATTAAGACACTGTTGGGAAATAGAGCCCAGGCTTGGCTCTGCTTGGAGCAATTTACCAGACTGCATCCATTATATATGTTGTTGCTTACACCTGTGTTTTACAAGTAAGAATGTCCATCATGGAAAAAAAAGCCACATCTCAGGGACATTTGCTCTCTTTGAATATCACCTTGCTTTCACCTCACGCCACATTATTCCCTGTGGTACTTTTACCTTACAGTATATTTAATAAGATGACCTGCTGAAAGTAAGTGTGGGAGTTATTGAGCACTGGCAGACTTCCTGGAGCTATAAAGTGGCCTTATGCAAAACCTGGAGGGACACAGGTTTGTACAGGCATTTAAAGAGTAGAGCGAGATTGTCCAAAGATCACCTCTGCAGTAAAACGCACTGAATGGTACTGTAGGATATGTACAACACTACTGTGGGCTGTAGGCATCCCATGACGGCACTTAGCGCGAGGCTGCAAAGGTTCTGCTAAATGTATCACACGATAAGAGAGCAATAACTGCCAGTGAACAACAAGTAAAGCAAATATTTAGGTTTCCATGAACAGGTCATGAATCAGACCTCAAACCTCCGTCCTGTCGGCTGCAGCATCCAAATTGCGCTCCGTCTTTGTTTCTTTGTGGCTATTTATTTTTATCCCCTGGGCCAGTTTTCTATCGCCATGTGGCTTTTGTTCAGTGTTGTCTTCTGTCTGCGCGCTTTGTTTGTTGTTGAACGCTTCTTTTAAGGACAATAGCGTGCATTTATCCTACGGGAGATTGTGTTTCGGTCAGTAATCATCAGCAAAACGGCTACAGTTGTTCACACTCAAAAAATAATAATAATAAAAAAAACAAGAGAAATAGCTGTGGACTTTTGAAAAGGGAGCAGAGACGAATCATCCACTTTCTTTGTTCCTCCTGGTCTTAAAACAAGCAATTTGCTCAGAATAGAACACAGATAAACACACAAAACACACACATCCACATTATCTATGTTTGCTGCACTGCAACAATGTCCACACTGAAACTATGCTGCCTCTCAGTTAATTGGCAGTGTGTGTTTTCAAATTGGCCTGTCTGACAGAACAGACTGGCCCACTATGTGTATCTGTATATATATCTGTGTGTGTGCGTGTGTGTGTGTGTGTGTGTGTGTGGCCATGCTGCAGTCTTAGGTCTCTCCACTGGAGGAGAGCAAGAGAGACAGCATTTGAATCGTTTAATATCCCCCATCACTCCCTCCCAAACAGTCAGTAATCACACACACACATATACACTTTTGTGCACACCCACACACACACACATGCACGTGCACACACACAAACACGCACGCATGCACACACTCACACACTCACAGCCTCAGAAAATGCAATCTTCTCTGCTGAAATGAAAAAGGAAGCTTAGCCTTTTTGGATGGTGTGTGTGTGTGTGTGTGAGTGTGTATATATGTGTGTGTGTGTGTGAGTCCACATGCATTTGCTCCATGAGTGTGTTCACACGCGCGCGTACGCTGATGTGTGTGTGTGTGTGCACCATTATACGTTTTCCCAATCTGCTGAGTGTCATGGATGAAACTCCACCACCCTCCACCCTTCAGTGTATTGCCACATATGTAATAATATTAATATGGCTCCCTTGACTGAGAGCAGCCCTGCATGCATAATTCATGCTATATTCTGCCTGTCTAGACACCATAGTATGTATGCGGCATCTACAACATGAGTGTTAGCCCAAACACACAGAAACTTATCACGAGAACTATAAAAGTCTGTCTCGTCTGAACCTCACCCAACTCCATTCT